TACATAGATACATAGATAGATAGAGATTTCTGCAGCCTTTAACACAGTTTAACTATCATGTGCTGTGAGTTTACACAAGCCTCTCCCTCTATATATCTTTTCCGGGGGGAATAATTAGGACCTGACCTTTTTCCCTGTAGCATTTCACTCTATGTTCAGCATCGTTTAGTCAGTTGTCAGGCTGATGGTTGTATCACTGGTGATAAGGCTGAGGCATCATTCACAGGGAATTAAGGCCAACCTCTGGAGGTCTTTTGCACTCTTTACATAAAAGTCACAGAGATGTCAAAGTGTGTCACTCTGTTCTATCATTGTCAGACAGGGTTCAGACGCGCTTAATCAGAAGTAGACCAACGTTATGATAATTAATAGATATTCAAGACTGTTAGTTTACAGGTCAGTTATTCTTTCATTTAATAGCCTAAGCGTGTTTGATTTATCGTCACTAACGATATCATGGTCAGCAGGGGCAGGTGACAAGTTGCTGAAAAACAATCTTACTTAAAAGGCTTGTGGCTACAGACCGACACCTCCCTACAGAAACTGTGACACCCAGAATCTGTAGTCAGCAGGAAAAAGTGCTGTTGCCTGTACAGCTGATTGGCCTTTCAGTCTAATGACAAGTAAAAATAGCATCAGAGTTGTTCTGCTTGAAGGAGCAGAGAAATGGAATAGTAACAAATTGGTCCCCCAGACAGAATCTAGGGCCATCTGCTTGAGAGGAACTTTTCCCCCATCAGAACTTGGAAGCTACTGTGCTATTTTCTACTTTTTAACTGTGACTGTGGGTTGCCTCAAGCTTGTAATGTAGACATTATATTACGTTGATATATGTTCTATTTTTGTCTACCCCTAGTTAACATGCGACATGGCATTCATGTGCATCGTTGTCTCTGTGTGTGTATGGGTTTGTGTGGATGGGAGTTCTGCTTGAAGCTAATGAAGACACACTTTCTTGTTGGCCTCTTTTTAAGCCGCCATGCGTTGTTGTTCTGTATAACTTTGCGGTGAGAAAGATCTGTGATCAGTGGAATGACATGACATGAAAATGTTATTTGCAAACCAGCATGAGGTATTGCTAATAAAATCCTTGTTGACTAAAGGCAAAATAAGATATGAAGGTCACAGAGATATTCATAGACAGCAACATAGCAGCCATATGTCAGACTGGCCAGACTGTAATTAATCTACCTGCATGTGTCAGTTTAAAAAGGAGTCATCAGTAGATGTAGTTCAGGCTCGGTCCAACAGGTGGCATGAAATGTGCACTGTGTGTTTGGGTGTGTGTGTGTGTGTCTTTCTCAGCTGACAAGGGAAAGTATTGGTGGCTGTCCAGGTTTTTGCATAGCAGCAAACACGACCTTCTATTTATCGCCACAGCTCACGTCGATGCACAACACTCGCTCCAGCTGCCCACCTGCCAAATTACTTTTTTGCCCTCACGCTCCTTAATAGAACCAGACACTGAGGCAATATCTCCATGTGGTCTAGGGAAAGGTTCATTTGTATAGAATGTGGTGTTCCAATCACTAGGCACCCTCTGTGGGAACATTATCTCAGATAATTTCCTACAACATGGACACCCCTACATTTATTAGATTCTGTCACAGCTGCTGAAGAAGAGTGCCAAGCTTCATACCAAGCTGATTTTGTGCGTTCTCACCACTTCTAAGTGTTTGTTTTTTTATCACTCATAGGGCAAACAAATATCAATAATTTTTCATCTTAACAGCTTCCCACTCTCATCTGTTTAGCAGAAATAAGATGCTGGATCATTCCAACAGTCTGTCTTTCTTGATCGAATATATTGTCTAAAATCAAAGCATACAGCTTTACTTATTTCCTTATTATTCCAATTTCCTCAACTCAGGGGGGGGGTCCAGATTAAATAGATATGGTAAATGTTGGGGTGTAACAATGTCATTTGTTCTTGTATTTATTTATCACCCTCATGTCAAGAGCTGCAGCACAGGATCTGGAACAAGTAACTAATGTTCTTATGGTTCCTTTGCTAAAAATGTTTGACTTTGGTTTGTTTTCCGTAAACATATAAGAATCTGTTGTTTGCTCGTGCATGTCAGACTGAGATTTGTCACTTGGATATCGCTCTTTCTCCAAACATGTCTGACATTTGCATGCTGCTCCGTCTGACCACGTCTAGACCTCTATGCTTCCCACTAACGTCACTGTCCGTATTGATTCTAGCCTAATTATAACTACAAAGGGTTTGATTTCAAAACAAGTGTCTGATTTCTGTCTCTTACCAGCTACACGAGATAATATTTAAAAAGCATAGAAAACAATGTAAGCTATTTACTTCAATAATATTTTTAAGTACATTGTAAGTTCATTAGTGTATTCCTAAAATTATAATTTTTTTAGGTGGAGTCTAAATGTAGGTCAATAGATATAATTCATATGATGGGGTTTGTTGGTCGATACACATTAATAATCTTCCCTATGCAGTCACGTTTCTTAAATTCAGTACTTCTCATCAGTAATTCTGATTGTGCATATCAGTGTTTAACCAGATGTGTTTGAGAGCTAATGTATACAGCTGTGTGCTATCTGTCTGTGTGTGCATTCTTACAGTGCTAGAAGTGGCATTGTTGACCCATATTTGTCTAAGTACTGCTGTATGTGAGTGTCCGTGTCTGCGTGTATGCGCCCTTGTACTTGTGTGTGTGTGTGAGCGCGGGTAATTGAAGTGGGTGGGTCAGCTCTTTGCCTCCGGGTGTCACTCGTGTTATTGACCATCAAGTACTCAACATCTGCGCTCTCTTTTATTTATGTCTGTGGCTTTCTCAGTCCGTCCAAAGCAGCAAGCTGTTCACTGTCACATGTAATGCCAGACTGCTGTGAGTTTAGGCATTTTGGCAAAGGATGTTTTCTTGTCTCGTCTGCTTCGGCATCAGTGACAACAACCATGGGTCTACAGTCCTCCGCAAGTGAGTGAGATTATGCAAGGCGGTCTTATACCCAGAAGGAAATGTAGCTGCTTCAGAGCAGGGGTCAATAATGCAAAGTTTGATTTGTTTTTGCTACATCTTAGCAAGCTCTGTTAAGCTGAAGGATATTTGAGGAAGGGAAACTTGGAGCAGGGAAGTGATTTGTGTTTGAAATGCAGGGCTGCTGTCTGCTTGGCTCGTTATTTGACTAGTTGCCTAATCAGCTATCATTAGTTTCTAGCCGCTGCTGTACTGACCCATCTGCTGTAGGTTACAGATCTGGAGTCATACACCGCTTTAAGCAAGTATGTGACCAATGGGCTGTTCTCGGTTTACGTCACTGCAAATCACTTGTGCTTGTTTTTGCTGGGAGCAGCTCATTAGAGCTTCATGAGACGTGTCATAGTGTAGCATTAGATTAAGCACTGCTGATTCATGACCTGCTGGGTGTTTATTTTCCAAACTGCTGGGTGCAGAGGACAGCAGTTTTTTCAGGGAATAATTGTTGGACATTTCAGACATAACTCATGTTAGCCTTGTGATACGCAGATTGATACACTTAAAATCTGTTTTTAGATTTGTTTCTGGTAACATAACTAAAATATTTGTGTAGTGTTTTACTGATTTGGTTGGAATTTTGTCTGGAGTCAGTATCTTTGTGGCTTTAGAAAAGTTCCTTATATGTCCCTCTTCTCTCTTTCTGTTTGCTATTTTCACCTCTTCAATACCACATTCCCTTAAGGCATGCTTTATTGTATCAATGGTTAATACAAACTTTTGGATTGCCAGGTTTTGAGAAATACCTTTGCCTGGTATTTATCCTCCTCCAGGGTGACATTTGCTTTGAAACACTGTACAATGTCTTTTTAGCTAGTCTTTTTGTTCTTCAGGATCACCTCTTCAATGGTCCATTCAGCCACTTCCCTTCTGGATAAAAGGGACACACAGTACCCGGACCAAAATCCCTTTTTTAAGAATTTAATAACTAAAAATGTTATGAATTCTTGTTAGAACACTATAAAGGACATAATCTATTGCTGTTTGCACCCTTTCTCTCTCTCTCTCTCTCTCTCTCTCTCTCTCTCTCTCTCTCTCTTTCTTTCTTTCTCCTCT